ACTTGACAATAGTGCCTACCTATGGGCAAAAGATTTCCTAAATGGCATCACCTTCCTATCCTCTCCTCTGAGTGTCAGAGAATATTTGCAGTAAAAAGTTCCTCCTAGATTACCCAGGTCACAGCAAACTCCTCATACTGAGAAGCAAAATCATTCTCCTTTCTCAGTGTCTCCCCAGTGATTTCCCACTCAAGGAACATCCCCAACATTGACCCAGCCACTCACGCTGCCACTTCACCAAGAAGCCAGCCACTACTGGGTGCTGTCGTTTCTGCTTCTTTCCCTTTTCTGGAGTCCATTTACCTTTTCCATTCTCACAACACTGTCTGCAGCCACCACACTCTGTCCTTCCCAGAGCACTTTCCTTCTCTAATTTGACCCTAGAACCCATGGTGATGTCCTGAAACTCAGAAGGTTGTATAAAAACTAAATAGTTTTCCGGCATCCTTGGGTTCATGGTGAGACCTCTTCATCCCTTCACAGCATCTTATCTCATACTCGTCGTCCCTTTGAACATTACATTCAAGCCACATCGAACGTCTTTCTGCTCCTCCATATTTTCTCATCTTTTAGCAGAGGGCTTATTCTCTTCCTCCCTCTTCTTCTTCGTGATATAGATAGAAGACATACAGAGGCGCAAAAAAGATAATACTATGGGTAGGGCACTTGCACACTGCCAACCTTTGTTAAATCTTTGCACCTCATTTGGTCCCCCAAGACCTGCCAGGAGTGATCCCTGAGTGCAGAGACAGGAGAAAGTTCCGAGAAAAGCTAGGTGTAGCCCGAAAACAAAAAACAAAGAAGAAAGAAAGGGCATTCAGAAAAGTACAGTGATGGAGGTATGTAGTTAAGTGAATTATCTCAAATGAGAACACACATATAATCCAGACTCAGATTATGAACCTGAAGATGACTAGAATTCCAAAACCCTCCTCATTACTACCATTCCAATAGAACTCATTACCTTTCTCAGAAGTCACTACCATCCACTCATTTTTAACCAGCTGGGAAAAACCTGCAGAATCATGTCTGTATAACCACCCATCAATTTCTGTGAGCTCTACAGGACCAAAAAAACACCCAAGCCTTCTTTGCATCTCCTCTCACTTTTGGTGGCTTTTTTCATCAAGTTCCCAGAAAATTGTTACCACATGGCGCCCAGTGCCTGCCTACCTTCTCTTCCCAGTCAGCAGGCAATCCACTGGTTTCTGAAGAAATTTATTTGGTGAGGGTTACTGTCTTCCTGAAGAGTTAAATACACACTGTTTCACCTTCTCTAACTTGACACACCCCCTAAGTCAGCGAGACATCAAGTCCTCCTGGTTTTTCTTTCTTTTTTCTCTTTCTAGTTTGGAGGTCACTCTAGCCAGCACTCAGGGATCACTCCTGGTGGGGCTCAGAAGACCGAGTGCTGTGAAGGGGGTTGGCCACATGCAAGGCAAGAACCTTGCCCACAGTACTCTCTCTTTGACCTCGGTTTCTCTCTTTAATCTGCCCTGTGTCTGTCCCACTTCTAACTACACTAATCTAACACCTTGAGGACATCTCCCTTCTCTCTTCCACATTCATCATTCCCACTGTTTCCCCTGATTAGAAGTATGGAAATGGCCTAGCACTTTCTGTGAAATAAAATCTCAACTGCACTGTCTGTAGCATTGTCATCAAGCGGGCACCAGTAATGTCTCCATTGTGAGACTTGCTGTTATTGTTTTTGGCATATCGAATATGCCATGGGGAACTTGCCAGGCTCTACCGTGTATGCGGGATACTCTGGATAGCTGCCAGGCTCTCCGAGAGGGATGGAGGAAATGTACTCTGGTCAGCCGCATACAAAGCAAACACCCTACCTTACCGGATTGCTCCAGCCCAACTCTCTTGAGTAGTAGAATGATAAGCATCTAATCATCACAACAAAGGAATGGCAGTCATTAGCTTCTATTTACCAATGACAAAAAATGCTTAAGGAAATCTGCTCCAATTTCACTGCCAAACCATCCCCCTATCTCAACAGCAGCAAGACAAAAAGACTCTTGAACCTGCTATTGCTGCAGTGCCCCTTGATGTGCTTTTACACACACACACACACACACACACACACACACACACACACACACCTGCGCCTCTGCCCCGTTGACTGTTCCAGGTCTAATGTACCAGCCTTCTGAGCCTCTGCTGGAAATGCCTCTCATCCCATTCTCTCTTCAAAGCTTCTACTCACCCTTCATGTCATTTCTTTAGTGTCATCTCCTCCGTTAAGCCACACTATTAACAGGTCCTTTTCTCTTCCTGGCTGCCTCTGTTTCTACCAGTACAACTATTCTCTTATGCTTGCATCATGACCCCAGAAAACAAGCTCATCAGGGCAGAGTCTTGGTTTTCTTTACAGATACATTTCAAGCCCACTGAACTGTGCCCTGCACTTAGTAGGTACTCAAGAGCTGCTAAGTCCATAAATGGTTAACATTTATTGAGCACTTATTATGCCTGCTGTTTCCATTATCTCATTCTATCCTTGTGGCAGCTTATGAGGAAGGAAGTTTTCTTTTTTAATCCATTTTTTTCATGGAAGGAAACTGAAGCTTAATGAGATTAAGTAGCTTCCCCAGGGTCACACATTTGATAGGTGGTAAAATGGAGATTTGAACCCTGATCTGTCCAAGGTCTAAATAGCCATATTTCACTACCATCTACAAAGTTGAACTGCAGTGGAACTTTCCACAGAGCGCTACAATAGGTTACAGTAGATGTCCAGCAATTAGAACCATTATCTCAAAGCAATGGAAATATCTCTTTACATATTTATCTCTTCATTATATTGAGTTCCCCGAGAAGAGGAACTGAATCCTAACTATCTTATTTCCCCACCACCCAAACCCCAAACAGTGACCTATTTGCAGCATGTTTGTGTTCACCGAATGCTTATTGAATGAAATAATGGGTGTGCTGTTAAGAGGCAGCGTTTGGCAGTGAGTCTTTTTGTACAATCATTCTCGGAACTGCTCTGATAGTTGCCCCAATGCAGGCCCAGCTGCCGCCTCCTCTAACCCTTTGCTTCTTCAGCACGTCGCAGGCTCAGGGCCATCCCTGGCTGACCCACCCTCCACCCTGACCCCCCGCCCTTTGCCATCCTTCCTGTCTTCATGAATTCCCCTGCCTGCCTTCCTGCTGTCAGTGGCCTGATCATGCTGAGCAGTTTCTGCCCACCCCTCTGCTCTTCTTGACCCCATGCTCCACTTGAACCTGGCTGCTTCCCTGGTCCTTCTGGACAGGCAGGGCAACGTGGCATTTCTCGAGATAATTCCAGCACAGTGTGGATTGTGATAAACACCGTGTCACGAGGCATGGAAGGAGTTGTGAAGTGGGAGAACTTCCTAGTTAAATGATGGCGGAACTGGAAATGAATTAAGTCGCTATCTTTTCCCCACTGAGAGAAAGTTGTTATTGCTTTAACAAAGACTTTAGCTTATCTAGGTTGGTCAATTACTAAGAATTGTTGATTATAAGTAATAGAATCTGGAGTGATTTAAACTATAAAGAGAAGTTTATTACAGGACAGAGGAGCCCCAAGGTTGGAATGCAGACAGGCCTCAAGGAGAATTGCAAGCAGGTCCAAAAAATAGTTTAGTCTGGGAACTGGGTAGCTTTCTCCTCCCATGTCTTGTCTGTACTCTCCTATATCTATGCCTCATTCTTGTCTCTCTGTGGATTGCTACTAGTCTCCAGATCTTAGAGTGGTACATGGCTGCTAATTCCTGTAACTGAGTTTATACTTGGTGAGAGTATAGTCTTCATTAAAATCAATCATGCCCAAGGAAACCTGATTGGTCCAGCAAGTGCCCACCCTCTGTCCAGTCAACAGCTAACAGCCCAGCAGGGTATATTTTTCTGCAAGCATTTTCTGTAACTGCAAGCATAATTCTCTAAAGAGAGGAAGAAGCAGACTCTCCAAAAATATTGAGTTCTGGGGGCCAGAGGGATATTGCACTGAGTAAGGTGCTTGCCTTGCACATATCCTGAGTTTGATCTCAGGCATCCCATATGGTTCCCCGAGCACTGCCAGGAATGATCCCTGAGTGCAGAGTCATTAGTAATAGCTAAGCATCAGCAGGTGTGGCCCCAAAACCAAAAGAAGAAATAAAACAAAAAACACACTGAAAAATGTTCAGTACACCTGGTTTTATGTTGAGTACACCTGGTTTTAACCTCAGTTAATGTGCTTATAGAAGAATTCGAGGTGCTTCTCCAAGAATAGAACATCTTTGAGTTTCATTTTCAGAAATAAATGCATGAATATGAACTGCCTCTTAGCAAACCCATGTTAACTAAGGACATGTCTTCTGGTAATTGCTACAGTGTTTTTAATGGCATTCTCTTTACCCAAGACCTAGAGTCCTGGCTCCAACAGGAGCTTCCACACATCTGTATGGCCCATGGCATAAGGAGGAAAGCCAGCTGGGTGTGTCCCATTATCTAAGCTTATCAAATAATGACCGCACCTTCCCATCAGCACCCAGAGTTCTGTTCTTCTTACTCACTGAAATCAAGCCGAAGGAGGCAGCATTATCTTCCCTGTGAGGGGTCCACACCCTGACAAATTTTGAGAGTTAAATGTGGCCACTGCTTTTTTTTTTTTTTATGTGGTTTGAGGTTGTAAGCGAGCAGGTTAGGAAAGAGGCTTCTTTAATTCTGATCTAGCCTTGCCTGCCCAGTGACCTCAATTCAAGGGTTAGCTAAAAAGTTTAAACAACTCACCGTTGACCTGCTGGAGTCCAGTGACAGATCCCAAGCTTTGCATCCAGCCATCCTGAACTTGCTTCTCTGGGCATTGCTGGGCTGACTGCCACTGACGTCCAGGGATGGCCCATCCTTGTGGCTCTTAAAAGAGTCACTAGGCATCAGACAATGGCTAGTGTCCTGGGAAATATGCAAGTGATTCTCCTGCTGTGGTCTGCTGTATTGCCCACATGTTTTCACTGACAACTCCCTGGCTTATTTTCCAGGCTCCTTGGGTACAGCAGGCCGTGTGTGTAACCTGACTTCCCGAGGCATGGACAGCTGTGAAGTCATGTGCTGCGGGAGAGGCTATGACACCTCCCGAGTCACCCGGATGACCAAATGTGAGTGTAAGTTCCACTGGTGCTGTGCCGTGCGCTGTCAAGACTGCTTGGAGGCCCTCGACGTGCACACGTGCAAGGCCCCCAAGAGCGCCGACTGGGCAACTCCCACTTGACGCTGGTGGAGATCATCAACAGCCTTTTCTCCTCCCGCAAGGACACCAATGGATCTGCAGGGACACTGGGCCTTTGGGTTCTGTAGGGGAGTTATTTCCAAGGCATGTGACCTTTGTCTCTGCAGAAAGCCTCTCTCTCTCTCTGGAGACCCAAGACTGAGGTCACATGCTGTATGCAAAGCCTGCCCTCTGCTCTCTGACTTCCTGCATTCAAGGGTCCTGATAGGCTGTTAGAGGGGTGAGGGGCGGGCCCAAATCCCTGTCTCCAACCTCTTACCCCCTCAGAAGTTTCCTCTTTCTAGAGTTGTTGACCAGAGGGAAGAACATCTCAAAGGAGCTCTCTCTGGGTGTTCCAACAAATGCTTATGCTTAAGAAACTCTGCTTTTATCTGGAGTGCAGAGGAAAGAAAGTAAGACCCACTACCACTGAATGAACTTAAATTCTTAAAAAGAGCCAGCAACGCTTTAGCCTAATCAACCTCTAGCAGTAGTTGGTTACTGCTTTGAGACTGATAACTGTCAAAAAAACAAACAAACAAAAAAAACAAACTTTAGCTTAGGAAGATATCTTTTTCAAGGTATTTACTCCCCTAGTAAAATTGGATGTCACAAGGCAGGGTTGTTACTGGGTGGGGCAATTTTGAATCTTTGTAATAGTAAAAAATGTCAGGAAGTAATTGCTTTGCAGTACTGCCCTCTTATAGGTAAAACGTTGAGGAGTGAAACTTCCTTCTTGCTTAGGACCCGAAGGGCATTTAAACAGAAGATTGACAATCTGGCAGGCTTCTCTTATCAGGAGAAGATGGAGAAAAATTATTCAGTGGGAAAGCAGAAAATGCATCTTGACACAGCAGTGCAGGTGATCTGTGGAATTCTGTAACTGAAACAGCTTTGAGAATGCAGACTTTTGACATGATGAGATCAGGGAAACTGAAAGCTGACAAAGAGGCTTTCCGAGCTGAGTTCAGGCCTGGAGAGCTTTTCCCATAAGCAGAGGCCTGAAAGAAGTTCGCCACGTGGGTAGAGGAATATCAACTAGTCCCCACCACTCTCCAGCATATTTAAAGACCTGTCATAGTTAATTGTGTTCATCTGTTGCTTACATGATGACAAGATACTGTAGCCCAAGCAAATGGCACAGCGCTTTGTGTATAAAGTTGGGAACCCTTGCATATTGTGTTACAAATGCATCGTAACAGGGAGACTATCATTAAAAGATCCAGCTGTAATTATGAGAACATCAGTATACAAATTGTGGTCAGCCTCTGTCTTGTGCCAAAAGATGACATCCAGGGAAAACAGAGAGGCTGCTTCCCCATTCTGCAGATTCAGTGAGAGAAGGGTGAACTGGATTCTATCCCCTCCCGGAATTAGGCTCTTGTTCTCAATGCAATTCTTCACAGGACTAACGGGATGCTTCGTAATATGTATCTGGTCTCAAACCATCAATATCTGCTCATTCTCTCATTCTTAGATCTTTGGCATCTCTTCCCTTGCTTTCTAGAAGGACATTTAGACAGAGGATTGTAGGAAACACCTTTCTTGTACTTCCTTGTCTTGATATTTGCCTCCTCATTTGTCCTCTTAGAAAAGGCAGGGTTCTTCTCTTTTCCCATACTCCCAAACCTCAGAATTAGTAGTACTGCCCTCTTATACGTAAAAAGTTGACTCTTTCCTTTTTTGAGCCTATGGATTTAGAGTGTGGGATCAGTGGAGGGTGAGTTGCTGCTCTGAGCTTAGTGTGGGTCAGTGGGGGATGTGGGGGAGGGTTTGGCCCATGGGTTCAGTCTAAATCACACTGAGGTTTGCTATCGGGTCAGGGGTTCTCCTGGGTCCCAACACCATCAGCCATCATAAATCTGTGGAAATCGTGACACATGGAAACATTCAGAGGACACCTCAGTCCCACTCAGTTTATATCTAAGGAAACTGAAACCGAGAGGTGAAGGGATCTGTACAGATAGCCACCGTGACCCTGTGCTCTGTTTCAAACAGTGAAGCACTTTATAGAGTAAATAAAGCAGTCTCTCAGAATTAACTTAATGGCATCTAAATCATTTTAGCATCCAAGGGGATGTTCTTTGTTTTCTCTTTTCTTTTACTCGCTTGTATTCCTGGATCAGTTTAGATCCGATTTTTTTTTTATACTTAACTGCATTGTTCCTGATAGAGAGCCAGGGGACCATGTGTATCCATGCAGAGGCCTGCACAGAGAGTCAGATGGGTAGGGGAGCTATGGGGCAGTAGGAGCAAGCACTGTGGGGAGAAAATAAATTATTATTCCCTGCTTTTACTTCTGAAACAGGAACTCTTCATTCCTGGAAAACATTTTGTGAAGATCATTTCAAACACCGCTTTAGAGGATGGTAGAGGATCAGCATGATTATGATTCTATAATTAAACCCTTGATTATCTGAGTCTTTTAAAAAAATGTATGACAACAATGACCCAAAAGTAGAGAATAAGAGAATCCATTCAGGAGGCTGGAGTGATAGTACAGCGGGTTGGGCATTTGCCTTGTACACGGCCGACCCAGGTTTGATTCCTGGCATCCCGTATGGTCTCCCCAACACAGCCAGGAGTAATTCCTGAGTGCATGAGCCAGGAGAACCCCTGAGCATCATTGGGTGTGATCCAAAAAGCAAAAATAGAGAGAGAGAGAGAGAATCCACTCAGGTCAAATTCCCTTAAAAATTTCCTCAAGGGTTGGGCGGGGGGAGGGGGGAGGTGATGGATACATTGAAACTTTCTAGGCCCAGAATAATATTCATAAATTTTCAGTGATATCTAAAGTAGTTTCTCATATGAGGAAATCTTAGCTAGCTCATGAGCATTTTCTACAATAACCTGCACATGACTTTGAGACATAGCAAATGCATTGTTTGTCTCAATATATTCACTTCTTTAAATCGGTCTCTGGTTCCAGTGGATCTTGTCTGGATTCTATCACCGTGCTTTGTTAATTCTCATCACTGCAGCTTGCACATCCCCTAAGGCTTGGAAAGACTGAATCCCCTGCCTTGAAATACCAGTGCGTTCCCACCAGTGGCTTCAGCTCACACACAAAAGCCCCCAGTACCAATTCCACGCTTGGCTTGGCCTTTGTTCCTGCCCCACATATTATTGAACCACAGGGAAATGGGACATAGGGCACCCCAGAACATTGTCTGCTTTCCTTTGTCTGTGTGGGTGTCACCAGATTGAAGGGAACGTGCCAGAGAATCTAAGAAAGGATGATTTAGTCTGCAGGGCACAGATGATAGGCTGGAGTGAGGGAAAGAGCCCTGTAGTTCCTGGGGCTACCTGCTGACCCTGAAGTGGTTGGAGAGTAGTTTTTGTCTGGTCTTGTTGGCCAACTCTACCTTCCTTCTGTTTGTCTTGTTCCTGTGGCGTCAGGAGCCCAGAGACTCAGGCAGGTGCTCAGGTTCCATTTCTGTAGTGTAGCGTTGCTCTGTCCTGATTCTCTGCTCAGTAGTGAACCCCAGCAATGAGTGGGAGACCTTGGCCAGTTCCAGGGATCAAACTGACATTGCTGCATTACTAGGCAAGCCCCTTAACCCTTTGTACTGTCTTTCCAAGCGATGTGTTCCATCACAATCATCACAATCATATCCCTTTTTGTGGGAGTTACCACTCTGCTAGAAAAAAACCCATTTGCTCTTTAAAAGAGGGTATCTTTAAAGTTATATGGCCCAACTTCACATAGCCATTTAGGAAAGAATCCTGCATCGATTCTTCAAGACCCAAAGCAGGCCTCCCTGCCAGTAGCCGCAACATGACTGTGCATGCTTGTGTAATGGACGATGTTGGCAGGCCCAGATTTTGTTATTACTTCTGTCTCTCCCTCCACTCCCCCCTCCCACCTTTTTTTCCTCTCTTTTGAGGATGGCTTGGGGCTGGTGTTGTCTTGCTCAGCGAAGAACACAAATCTCTCCTCTTCGCTGCTCTCAAAATAAAGGCTCAGAGGGATGTCCAATGGACCAGAACCATTCTTTTGTGTCTATTTACTGCACTGAAATCTGGGTTTCCCTGTCTTAAGAGCAAGAGTTGTACTCTTAACAAATAGACCTCACCAGCTCTCAAGCTGGTAAATTGCTTTTGTCAGGTCTGTGCTGACCTTCTGAAAAGCAATCTGCCCTTGAAGGCTGACAGCTCAGATGTGCTTATTTTGACCTTCTCCTTACCTAGGCAGAGAAAATTTTCACTCATCCATGAGAATGTTCTTTACATTTTTCTGAGGATCAGTGAGGTGACAGGTAGTTTGCAAAGCCCAACATGATCATTATTTTTCTAAATCATAGTTGTTCCAACTCTAGTTTTTTTCATGATGTTCACATGGATTCCTGTTTAACCAAACCTCCCACTTCCACAAGCTAATAAAAGTGTCACAGCAGATTGTTGCAAAGAACTATTGTTATTTACAAGTCTACATTTTCTGTGAAATCAAAACATAATAAAGTGAATTTTCAGTGTTGACTTTGTTATTTTAAACTTGTGATGGTCTTGCCAAAGTCTCTGGTGAAAAGAAATCCCTGTAGGTTCTGGGAACTAGTCCCCTGTCTTTTCTCAAGACTACACTTAACACAGCTTGATGAAGAAGAGTCCTCAACTTTATAATAATTTTCAGGGAAGGTAAGAAGACAATTGTCTTATTATACTAATTACTGCTCTTGTTATTTCCTGGGTAAAACATACATGGGTCAAATTGTGAAATTATTTGGGATTTTCAGCCTCTCTCCTTGGTGGTTACCATCTCCTAGTAACAGCATGCTTCACAGGGTATATGAATTCATCGTCTTCCCCAACAGCACAAGGCCCTCCTGCACCAAAGTTGCTGCTTTCCATCTTAGTGCTTGCTCCTGCCTGAAATGGTATTTTCTCAGCTTGATTGGAAACATACAACGTTCTTTACCTCTTTAATGAGATATTTACCTCCTTAGCACAGTGGTAGGGCGTTTGCCTTGCATGCAGCCAGCCTGGCTGAGCCGGGTTTGATTCCTCTACCCCTCTCGGGGAGAGGGCCTGGCAAGCTATCCATGATGTATTCAATATGCCAAACATAGTAACAACACAAGTCTCAAAATGGAGATGTTACTGGGCCCACTCAAGCAAATCGATGAACAACGGGAGGACAGGACAGTGACAGTGACAATTGTATGTGCTATTTATTTATATACAAGTGGCAAAAGCTCAAAAAATGGAAATAAACTCTTCTTCATCAAAGTAAATACACACACCTCCATTTATTTTCTATGATTTGGGGCAACCCGAATAGGTGAGATGCTGCCTATGCTCCCAAAGATGCCCAAATGGCCTCATGTCAAGCTGCTCACATTCCTGGGATTTTTGTCCTTCCTTCCAGAAATTTTTACACTTGATGGAGCTGAAGAAGAGCTGGTGACATATATATGCCTTTATGGTTTTTCAAAAGTCTTTGCCCTTAAATTTCCTCCCAAACATTATCAATGAAATTTTTCTTTACCTAATCCTTTTTTTAAGAGACCTTTAATTAATTTATTTATTTGCTTTTTGGGTCACACCTGGTGATGCACAGTGGTTTCTCCTGGCTTTGCACTCAGAAATTACTCCTGGCAGTGTTTGGGGGACTATATGGGATGCTGGGAATCGAACTGGGGTTGGCCGGATGCAAGGTAAATGCCCAACCTATTGTACTATCGTTCCAGCCCCACCTAACCCTTTGAGAGACATTTCTTTATCCTCATTGAGTCTTCAGAGGCAACCCTCATCTCCACCCAGTAGATGCCAGAATCAATTTCCCTTCCACCCAGATGTGTCTCCAGATACAACCAAATGTCCTTCTGAAATAAGGAGTGATAGTGACACTTGAGACTCCTGATCGACCACTGAGGAGTGAGCCCTCTGTTAGAATGCAAGCCTTCAGAGATGGGGGTGGTAGTAATTACACACAGACTGAGTGAAATCTTCAGCTAAACATCCGAAATTCTTCGATAGTGTAAATTCATGATAAATCATTTAAAAAAATCATCAGAGAAATGCTGTTTGACTGCATATGTGTGTGTCTGTATCTCTATTCCTGTAATTTTCAGTCAGCTGCACCTGGTTGGGAATAGTAGTTCTATGGGATTCATTCTCAGCACGCACCTATCAGAGCAGCTGGGAAGGAATGGCTGGGAAACATTTTGATTGAAGGATGAATCCCTCCACACGGAAAGCTGCTGGGTGAGAAAGGCAAATTTTGACACTCACTTGAGTTTCCACACTGTGTATGCTGGAAGACTGGGAAAGCATGCACTCCTGGATTTCTGGGGATGGGCACTAATTAGGGGCTCAAAGAGAAGAAAAATTTCAGTGGAGAGAAACAGTAATGTGACAGAAGCACTTTTGAAACTCCTGGATTTCACCACGTTCATTGTGGATTGGGTAAGAACCTCAGGCTATGGTCTGAAAAAGGAGAAAGTAAGAATAACATGAGTTTCCGCAAAAAAGCTGAGCAATTTTGTGTTTCTTCAAACAGAAGAAAGAGTCACAATAAAGAGGGGCATGGCAAAACATAGAAAGTCCAAGTTAACGTGGAGACAGAATTTCCACTGCAATGCCAGATCACATATTATTTGATCAGAGGGAAGGGAGGAAGGAAGGAAGGAAGGAAGGAAGGAAGGAAGGAAGGAAGGAAGGAAGGAAGGAAGGAAGATAAGGGAAAGGGGAGGGAGGAAAAGAGGAGGGACTTGAATGCGCGCGCGCGCGCGCACACACACACACACACACACACACACACACACACACACACACACACACAGCCAGCCATTTGTGACTCACAATGCTGTCCCTCAGATTGAGGAAGGGACACAGGCAGAAGATGAAGTGGAGGAAGAAGTGAGATTAGACCCAGGTAACTGGAGAACTTGAGGCAGGTAACACTTAGTTGAATAAGTCCAAAGGCCTGGATAAATTTTCATGAATCAAACCAAATTTGTATTTCAGGTTTCCCCAAAAAACCTATAAATATTCCTTAAGAAGAGAAGATAGGAACTACTTGAATGAACAAATATTTCTTCTCTGTTTTTTTTCTAGTTCTAAATAACATTGCCTGAATAAAATCTAATCAAATATACTCAGTTTACCATGTAGACTCTTTTTGGATTTTTAACTTGATTTTGTCATTTCTGAGTAGTTCTGACCCCTGTAGCCAAATCAGAGCCTCTGAATATCTCCACACAGTAACATCCACCCACACCCCACCTCCATCCTATTTTTTTTTAATTTTTTATTAGTGAAACACCATGAGGTACAATCCTATTTTAATAGCATTGTGAGGGCTGTCTTTAGAGTTCCACATAAGAGGAGTCATATTACTGCCTATAAATTCAATTCAAATAATTAAATAAATGCCAAAGATGCATCCAGCATCCACTCAGCTGAATTGTTCACTCTGGTTGGAGAACATTGCAAACCCATCTGTAAATGTTTAGGAGTTTGATGTTACAGGTGGGGGTCACACACCAGCTAAGTAAAAAGCAGAAAATAAAAAAATAAGAATTGGCATCTCCAAAAGTATACCTGAATATTCAAATGTTAGTATCTGCCTCTCGATCATTATTCTTCAGTAGAAATAAAGGCTTCAAGGCCTTGAACTCTGATTCGTCATTGTGGAATCATGCTTAATCAAGACAAATATTTCCAGCTTAAGAGTACAACTTGA